CAAGATAATGACTTTAAGCATACTAGTCATATTGCCAAGGAATTTCTTGATAAGAATGTCCCAGAGGTTATGGATTAGCTTACTAATAGTCTAGACCTAAGGAATGTGGAGTTGCGTAGGCCAAAAAATCTTAGTGAATTAAAGCGGGGAAATATTCCAATTAATTTTTTTAATTCAATGCCTCAGCGCTGTAGAGAAAAATTGTAAATGAATATCATATTAAAACTTTTGTAATAAATCTACTACTTATCGGCTTTAAAATGACGCATTGTGCACTTTAATCGATGCAATACTTTAAAACTAACGTGATTTTAAGAAAGTTCATTTTTTTTGCACACCAGTTTCAACCATAAAACTACCCAGAATTTTTCCCCATCATAAAAAGGCTGACCGCCGGAAATTAAATAAAGTCTCCAATTTCTTGGCTTCAGTTACCTTAATAAAGATCGTGGAACAGAATGTCGTATACAGTGAACCCCCCCTCCATAAATGCATTTATGGAGGGTAAAAGATTGATCCATCGTAGTCTTCTGTTTGAATAGAGTTCCTCAGCATTCATTCGTTGTTGAGTACCAGAAAACAATATCATAGTAATAATGTGACGACTGATCTATGAAAATGGGTGATTTGTTTTTGTGAGTTATATATATAAGGCAGATTTCTTTATTTATGTCGATATCACGTGAAGTCGCATGAGTGTGCATTTATGAAACATAAAAATGTACAACTGTCAATTCATCAAAATCAGTAAATGCGGCCAAAGACTTTAAACTAACCAATTTGAATATTACCGTAGAGCACTGTTTTGAACTATACCCGGGGGTACTTCTTCACCAAAAATTCCTGAATTGTACCCAAGTCCTAATTTAGGGGGGAGGATACTATATTCAGGCTTTACGTTTATATTCGGTTGAGAAAAAAAGACTTCTTTCTCTCTCCTGAGGTTATATAGTAAAGTTCGCTTAAGTGAATCCGTTCTGAAAGAACTTCGTTATAAAGCGATCTTCGTTAAAGTGAGACTTCGTTAAAGTGAGACTTCGTTAAAGTGAATTTTACTGTGTATGTGACTCAATGTGACGAAAATTAGTTGTCCACTGACAATAAATAATGCGGCGTTCGATATAAGCAGTTTAATTAATAAAAAGGTTTCTTGCCATCTAAATTAATTCTCTTCATCAGCGGAGAAGAATTTATTTGAGTTTATTGAATCCGATCATTGTTCCAAAAATTGGGAACAAAAAACAAGGCATAATCTTTTTGCAAAATTGAGTTTATTCATATGCTCTATGATCGGCAAACTCTTGTCGAGTGTATTTTATTTATTGGAGGTAGTAAGCTACTGACTGCCCTCTCTCTCCATATATGTATTCGGCTTTAATTAACTAAAAAAAATCGCCTGGAACTTTCTTTAATCGAAATGTTACAGTGAACTCTCCCTAAATACACACGCCTTGGGCGAAAGTGTGAGAGCGTGCATTTAGAGAATAATGCAAAAACGTACATTTTAGGGAGAATATTTTATTTTGTACAGTTTCCAAGTCTTGTAATGCCGTGTTTCTTCTTGCCATTTATATTCCTATTTATGAGGAGTGGGCATCTGAGCGTTCTAAAAAAATATATATTAGCCGTACCGGCCCTGAACTCGCAAAGCGAGGTGTAGTTATTCATTACATCATAATGTTCAACTGATGAAGCGTTGTATCTACATGCCAGTTGGTCAGCATAATACCATGGTTTGCGCTAAAAAGCCCGCAGATAACCAAAGTATGTGAGAGACTGGAGATTTCCAAATTTTATACCGCAGATCGTTTTTTTTTTATGATAGTAAAATGTCTTAGCATCAAGCTCAAGCGCACTTTCAGATAAGCTACAGTGTTACAAAAAAAGCGGAATTTTCTTTCATAACAACATTTGATGTAAAAATAATTGTTTATACAAGTACAGAGAGACCACTATAAGTAAGTGCACGCTCTCGGGACTTGACATTAGCACTTATAGAACAACGAATAGAAAACCAGAAACCTGTTACACAGAACAGTGACTAGTACTTTCTCAGAAAGAGTAGTTCTCTTGTATCAACACTAGCGCGAGACAACAATTATTGATTGTATTATTGTGGCGTTTATTATGTCATCTTCGCTTAATTTGGAAAATGTGATTAAAATTTTTACTATTTAGCAAATATCTTATGTCAAGCACGACTAATGCATCTTTGTTGATTGAAATCACGGCGATTAATTGGCTGACCTTTTTTAAATGCCACGTGGGTACACTTATGGAGGTTATACAATTATATCTGGGACTCAAAAATTGCTTGCACACTTATGGAGGGTGCATTTATAGAGGTCTCTCTGTAATAACAAAATTTTTGAGTTTTGAATTTTTGATTTTTTTCCCAAGATTAATTTATAAATTAAGAAAAATTTTAATAAGATAATCTATTAACTGTCCTTAAGCAAATTTGTTCTCTATATTATAAAAATATAATGATAAATTCTGGACAATTCGGCTTTTTTCGTAACACACTGTATATAACCTCACAAAGACTAGATTCGCTCAGTAAGCTATTTGAAGGGTACTCTAAAGACAAATCGCTCATTGTTTTAATTATTGCATCATGTGCTGCATCCTGACAAGGATGCCCGACTCCATAATCGGAAAACCTTTTTCAAATGAATCATGAGCTAGCAACTACTAGATTCAAATCATTTTCTCTGTTGCCTATGAATCTAAAAAAGGAGTCGTTTTATAAGACTCTTTAACAGTGACTTACTCTCATATAAAAGTACTTCTTTAGAGTTGAGTGATACAGATAGTTCAGGCCTTTTTTGTACTGGCGAGAGAATCGAATAGATAGGGCAAGCTTTTGGCTTCTAGTTTCCAGCTCCTGGTAAATAAAAGCATAAATTGAAACTCGATATTCTCAAACTATATATACTCGTAATAAATAAAAAGTGTGTTTCTGGATTATCGAACGCCAAAATCCTATTAATATTAATACTGATTTGTATAATACCCGGTATTTTATCGGCCTATAAACTGCTTTGCAGGGTACTATACAGGGGGGGGTATTTTAATGCTCACAATTTATGTGACAATCCCTAGAACAGTATGTAATTAGTTCGATCGATTAATTTAATAATACTTGTTTCCAATAACCTTCGCATTATCATCGTTCTTTTATTTTTTATAAGGAATAATAATAAACCCCTTGCTTCGTTTTTTTATCATTTACTACATTGCCTAATATACAAGAACTTGTTGCGTGACCTGTTTCGTCAGTATATTGCGGGAAGAACGTTACAAAATTTTATTGTACATCAAAAAGAGTACATTTATCACGTGTTCAGGACAACGGGTGTTCATTGCCACGGAGCTTGCGCACTACTTTCATCAGGATGGAAGTTACCTCCATTGAACGGGTCAAATGAAGGCATTATATTCATGTCATTATATTGCTGAGTGAGACCATGATTATCTGCCAAATTATTTGCACCGAAATCCAACGTAAATACAGACAGCTGTGGCACTTGTTGCAAAGACACTGGCTATATAATCATTGAAATAGAAAATCGTCAACAACTTCATTTATCCAAAGGTTAAGTCGAAACAATGCACTACTCACTGGTTGTGACTGTTGCAATTGCTGTTGGGGAGTAAAGACATGGGATGCCTGATATACAACAGAGTCGAAAGAATTAATTGTAAAAGGTGCAAACGGTAAGAGCACATAACGTTCTCACCTGTTGTGACTGTTGCAACTGTGGTACAAAATTGATGATATCATCTGATGGTTGATGTGTGAACGTGAAGGTAAATTCGTTCTTATCATTATATGACGTCGGCTGTTCACTGTCTATTTGTTTATTACTGACGGCGTTTTTTCCTTTCTTAGTAATATAAGAATACTGTTTCCTGTATTGAACTGGATCAACAATCTTCGCCTCTTCTTCCTTACCCAACCACAACTTGTGCAACTTCTCTTCTCCTTCCAATCGACTCTCGAGACCTGCTCGTACAGCAAAATTTCTAGCAATCTCTTTGACTTGATCCTTAATCTCTTTCAACCGTTCTACCATTTGCACTGATTTCTCGTCGCCTCTCTGTGCAGTCCAGGACAATACACGGATAGCTGGCGCAAATGAGAACAGCGCTGTACATGATTGCTCGTAGAAATCAGGAACGGTGTTCATCAAAACATCAAGCAAATGAAGAAGGATAGTAGCAGCATTAACACACATTGTTTGCGACAATAATATAGATGGGTCATTCATGTTCCGCAATAGCGGATTATTAGGATTTGTGGTAAACATAGCGAGATTACGACTATGTAGCAATATAATCACAGTCCAGAACAATGTATGCATCTCCCCTACACAAGAGATAACTTTCTGTAAGATCAACATAGACATAACCAGTTGAATCCAAACATTCATACCTCCTATTGAACCAAGTAAACTGTTTTTTACATCCTTCGTCATTTCTTCGAATCTTAACCATTGCGGCAATGTGGAAGACCATTTTCCAAGAACTGCATCTAAGAACTTAAATTGGCTTTCCTCCCTTTTAGTTCCAGCAATTTTGGCCCTCCCATACAAGTATTTACGGACCTATAAGTTTAGCATATCCATATTAGTGGATGGTAAATATTCAAGCATAGATGCATTATGACATACCTGAGCGAATATTCTTAGTAAATCAATATGTAAAATCCATGCAATGTGCAGGCGAGTTTCATGATCCGGCTCAGGAGTCTGAGGTATTGGCAAAAGATCCACATCGCACATCGCTTCATCTATGGCACTGGGACGTCCGTAACATGCAGATACCCAACTGAACCACAAAAGGTGATTCATCAATATTGCTTGTACCGCAAATACAGTAGTTAAAAAAAATCAGCGAGCTTCACTCACGCCTCAGCAACGAAGCATCCCCAGAATGCCATGTCTCTCATCTCCTTGACTTCAGGTGTCATTTGTGGACTCTTGATTTTACGGTGAAGACCTAATTCAAAAGCCATTTTAGAAGCCATGCCAAGGAAGATCCAAGCCGAGCCCATCTGAGAAATCGTAGCATGATGGAGATAAGATGAACAGGCCGGATCAAGAAATAAAGAGATAAAGAGAATGTAAACAATGACGGAATCCCTACCTTGCGCGTATTTAAACCAAGTATAAAAAGGCTAATAACAGTTAACACATGTGGAGTGGTCATACAATGACGCTGAAGGAGTGCTATGTATGAACGTAGAGGCACAGTCAAGCAATAGTGAGCGGCAGGACCCACAATAATTAAATGACGTGTTTAAACATCATAACGAAACGCGTGTCTTATCTTACCAACGCCCCGCTAATAGATTTCGTTTATAATACAAAGAGTAAACTCACTATTAGCTTTCTGCTTTCTCAGAAGATAAATGATCGTTAGGTTTCTATCTTACGTACCTGGTGATAGCATATACCATTTTGTTGGAGCTTTTCGCTTGGATGAAAAGGCGATGCAGCAAACATGACGCTATTGAGGAGAAGAAAATGTTGTGGCGTTGATAGATCACCCAAGGAATCCAAGACAGACTTCTTCATGTGAGGATAGTGGCGATAAATTTTCTGGATTGTAGTTCACAAGGATCAGTGAGGAAATCTTTTCCATCAAACATAAATAAACTATTGCCTCGTGATTTTACTAACAAAATTCAATGATTGACCTAACGCACCTGATAATACAGGTCAATAAGTAGGTCCACTATCTCTGCGTTAGGTAAACATTTCAAATCACGCTCTACTTGTGACAAGTTAGCGGGGGAACGCGGTAAAATTAGCTCATCTCCACCGTCACTCAATAAAAGCAGGGATCCCTCTCCAACATATTGGTTTGATTCAAAGATATTTAAGCTTTCCATTTTATCAGTGAGTTGATCTAATGCGTCATTCTCGAGCATTGCAAATGGATGTCCGATGAATAAATCTGAGCCAACAGCTGTGTTGTCCTCCTATAGGAAAATAATGATCCTATTAACAATAGTTATAAATCAAGATTAAGAGATATCATCTACAAACCTGATGCGGTTGTCTGGGCAAACTGGGAGCGATCTGGGTGGAAAGGTACAGCGTTTCTTCAGACAGATTTAAATTTAGACTGGGTAATGGAGTTGATTCGCTTGTAAAGTTGGGATATAATCCTCGCCATTCCTATAGATCAGAGTATGTCAATAACGATCGACACGTTTACTAGTGAACCATGTTCGACAATACTAACATTCATGTTGTTATCGTTGACGTTGTCATTGTTGTTGCCGTTAGTATAGACATTGTTCCCGTTTGTCATCGTATCGGGAGTATTGCCTTGTGGCACACCTGACATAACCGCTAGTTCCAACATAGACTCCATTTGATCGAGTTGTTGAAATGTTGAAGTCTGAATGTCTTCTATTTGTTCTTGGAGTAGTTCATAGTCATTCTTAGGCCGCCCCCGTTTGGAGGATGCCGAATAATCATATGTGCAATCCCGTTTAGTTTTTTTGCAAGTACCACATACTGGTCGTTCTTTGTCACACTTTACTTTACGCTCTTTACAGTTATCACAAGTTTCGATAGGTTTAACCCGTTTTTGAGCGATCAAAGTGCTTTGAGGTATTGGTGGTATTGGTTGAAGTAGGCTCATGGTCGTAATAATTGTATTGCAGAAAGTGGTAAGTGACAAGTGCGATTATGCGTTTATAGCATATTTACTGTCGCACGACAGCCGTTGTGACAATATTGCCTTCTTTTATTATAATAAAAATTAACTGATTTTTCTCTTCAGCTAAGGAGACCGTTTCTATTATCCAATTATGCACAATTACTGTTCCGATGTTTTTTATACTTTATTATTATGCCAAAACGCTTGATCTTAATGTCTGCACTCTACCACTAACTAATACGTTGGACTGTTTTCAAAAGAATCAATTTCTAATATAATTTACGTTACAAATCCCCAGACTTTTTGTGTGCTATATTAATATATTGCCTTTGCGCTTAGAGTTGGTAAGACAAAGATTAATATTAAAATGTGGTTTTGAAACCGAAGATGCAGGGCAATAATGATTGTCTGTCCTACCCAGGAACCCGATATTTGTTGTCCAAATTACGCTGGTGCAAGATAAGACGTTTATCATTCTATAAAGACTGACAAGAAGTTGGCTAACACATGGACGTGGGTGGTTATGTATTTTTTTTGATTGATTGCCCCGATTGTTCATTATCCCCTTGGTAGCTGTAACATATTATAATTATTATGCTCGCTATTCACAACTTACAAAGTCAATATCGAGATGCGAGAACGAAAAGTCCCGGTACTGTTGAATAGATTCTCAATAGTAATACGAGTATGAATGGATTATTATTATTATGGAATCTTGGAACTGTGTTTAATATATTATGAAACAGCTTGGCACTTGCAGATGTAACCTGCTATTTTAGCATATAATAATAGCAATAATAGTAATAAAATGTATAATATGAGATTATAATTAGTATTCGATGTTACAAAACCATTCATGGCAAAATATAAATTTAATTAGTAAAATCGAATCGTGCCCAAAATATCGAACAAACAAAACCAAATGGAGATTTAAATAATAGTAAATCAAATAAAACATATATATTGCAATTAATCTAACAATACGTATCGACTAATAAGCGAGAGTATATTGCACATTTATTACTAGTGTTTATTGCGTTATTTGTAAACAGCCTACTGTTTGTCAACTGTAATTGTTATCATTGTTATATCACACTATATATATGTGTCATTGCACCATCGCTCTCCAGTTATCACTCGCTGGCTGGTGCTTACTATGGCTCGTGCTGATTTCATGTCAAGACAACTCTAACAAAAATATCAACACATACTTACCGACATAAAAAACAGTCTCATAAATATAAATTTCGAGACGCTCATATACTCCTATTCCATTCCCAGACGCTAGCTCGTCTTTATACACCACCCGTCGACTCTTGTCAAAAAAGCACTCTCAGAACTATACCCAAGTAACAACATCATGTCAAATCCAGCATTACTCATTCTAGTTAGGGGTCAGATAACGCCGCATATGATAGGTATTGTATCGAACGCACATTCACATTCATATTCTTTACAATCTCACTTACCCTTCCTTTCAATTCAACGCTTAGAATATGTCAAAGACAGAACAGCCGCTATTCTTCCGTGCGATCCTCCTCCAAGCGAACACATAGAATTGCCATCATTAACATCATTTATCCAACACTTAATATCACGATCGAGCGTATCTACCGGCACATTCCTATCAACACTTGTGTATTTAGAGCGGTTAAAGAACAGATTACCAAAGAATGCTAGAGGTAACTATGGAACAATTATACAACGATAATGGCGACGACTGTTAAACAGTGATGTCTGCAGTGTCTCACTTATACTCACTACCTATATATATTCATCACGAACGCGTGTATGTTGACCTGCTTTCGAAAAAAGTCGATTATTTTTGCCCAGCATACAGATCACCACGATCACAATGTAAGCTAATCAGTTTATTCTATTTCACCTGCCTCAGGAATGTATTGCACGCGCCACCGAATCTTTCTCACCGCTCTAATTGTCGCATCGTAAGTGCCAGACCATCACCTGCGTCCATATCACTGTCACTTATTTCTACATGTAATTAACGCATTAATACACATTAGAAAATACTTGAATGACTCATCCCCAAGGAACAAACACTGGGCTCGATGGTCAGGAGTCTTTTCTTTGGCTAAAATTAACTTGATGGAGCGTCAACTACTTTGTTTGCTTGATTTCGATCTGCGAATCACTGAAGCAGAACTTGTACGACATCTGAGTGTATTCTATTCTCGAGATACCAAAACTATCCGATCATGCACATGGCCTCAGTATTCATTACTACAGTCTAGACTTAGACAAAAGAAGTCTCTGCAGCTGTTATCATCATGTGGGACACTCAGTGTGCAATCCCACTTACCATCAACGGTAGTGATGTCATTGCCATCATGTCAACAAGCATGCCAGAAGACCTTTCATTCACAATCAATGAGAACGTTTGTTGATTCACCATCTGATATCCCATACGGAGATTACTGCCAAGGAATATCCGATATGGATTCCAGGATGGAAGATATAAAATATGAATATAATGGAATGGCAGAAAACGGCTCTCAGCATCGGTATCCTTATAAAGATGAACATGGTAGACGATTATCTACTACTTCTACCTGCTCGACAGCGTCCTCAAGTTCGGTGGCCACTCCGATTTCAATACAAGTATGTCATCAGCAGCACAAGTACTTCTCGACTGCATATCCTGTATATGTTTCGACAGATACAGCAACCCTTCCTACTCAGGCATTCGTTGGTTATAACGTAGCAAAGACGTGTAATAATAGCACCAGTCACAACAATCATGTGCTCTCGCCACCTGTTTCTTCCTCAGTGGGTTCATTACGTGCTACGTTTCGGCATTATTAGTTACTACTACAATATCATAATAACAATCCACAACGAGAGCGGCAAGGCAAAGACAACAGCGCAATGATTATAATGGGGTTAATATCTTTGAAGATAATCCACTGATATCCTGAAACTATGACATGGCGTGTCGCGAAAAGGCGCGTAAGATTGTAAAATCGACTTTTAGAATAATTTAAAAAAAATGACGCTTATATGTTAATTTGCTTAACATTCACCGTCTCTACAGACAATCCTTAGTATCGGACGATTGGTTCGTCGATTACATGGTAAAAGGAACAAATGGCATCCCACTTCACGTGTCGCAGAGGACTTTTTGTCATAAAACAATAGAACGGCCATCCAACTATCCTGAACTGAATTCCATCGAATAAAATGTTCTTTCTGTGTTGTATTTAAATGCGATGGAAAGAATCAGTATTAATGATAAATGTCTAATCTATTTGTTGTCTCTGCTTGTAATTATACACTTGTATATAATTAAGCGTCGTATAATGTTATCTCCTACAATGACATGCTAGCTATACAGTTGGCACTGTTATTACGTAAAACAATAAACGAACGGCCGCTATTAGAATAATAAGTCGCAAGAATTTCGGTCATTATTTTGTTGATGCTACTTGGTTCCGATGTATTGTACCACTGAGCGAAAATCACGTCATTCCTGACACCACCAAAAAAAGTTAGAAACAAAACTATGTCAATTAAATTTAGTTAATTTAATAAAAAAGGTAGAGGTAATAGTAAGCTCGTGATAAAAATAATAGAGAGAACAATTTCCATATTAAATTTTTCCAGTAAATCTCCTTGTCTTAAGGTATCAAACAAGATGTTACTGATAACAATTGGTGCAGTTGTTATTTAGCAATAGTCTCTCAATAATTTCGTAGGAGAGCTACAAAATAAAAAGGCGCTTAAATGTACTTTTGATGCGAAACGCGACCTTTGGTCGGAAATTGCTAAGCTTAAGGCTGAAAAAAACGAACTTGAGGATGAGAATGAAAATCAAAGGTATCTTATAGATGAACTTACAAAAAAATTAGACCTAAGAAAAATCGCAAATTCCAGATTAGATAGCTAAGGAAATCTTAATGAAGAACATATGATTGAATATCGCCCTCCTTTCTTGAATGGGTTAGAGCTTGATGCCTTCTTCCAAAAATAATCGACGTGCAAAAGGCTCAGCATCGGCTTCATAGCACCAGCTGGCGTAAAGATGTCAAAAAAACGTGATCGGCAATAATAATAAGGAAAAAACCGGGTCGTTATTCCTATAAGGGTACAAAGAATTAAGGAGTCTATTATCTCAAAAGTTATACTGTAATCAATAACCTTACATTAATCCATTGGTAGTTTTTTGGCATATTCCATGTAATAGTAAATTTCAATAAAATTTTTTTTCTTGGCAAAACTTTGGACATACAGTAAGTTCACGAAGTAGAATCACGTAATTTATTTTGAATGCCAGAAAAAATTATTTACTTAGGCAGAAGCAATGCCGAGTTTAAGGCCAATTGTTACAAAGCTAAGGGCCGAGCTCAGAAATGGAATCGAGGAATTAGAAAGGGCTAGAATAGATACTGTCGCCGAGAATGTTAGGCGGGGTGCTGAGAATGCTGACGCGAAGCTAGAACAAGATTCCAGGCAATCGCGAAATAATTCTCTCCAGAAAAACCTGCTGACATACCAGACTCCATAGTAGCAAATGAGCAGTACCTGTCAATTCCAAGTCGTCAAAGGAAAAGAAGATGGACTCTTTTCTGGATGAGGTGAATAAGACCAAGATTAGCCATGAGATACATTTCTCATACCGAGCAGTCAGGGGACCGGATTTAGACTACATACTGCGATTTTTCATAACATTTTATGCGCCACAAAGAGTATGACGTCACATTTCATATTACACAATCTACTACGACTTCCATATTTCTCTTATTTCTTTCTCCAAATACCATAACTCTAATGGAACCAAGTCGATGCCATCACTGTGGCACAATAGGCCACAAGAAGTTCGATTGCACCGAGAGGTGCAAAGTTTGGTGCAACTGGTGTGGAAACCCCCCCGCACGCCGACCACCTGCTGTTGGCAAGAGTGGACAGGAAGTGCCCCAGAGACAAGGAAGTGGAAATGGGAGGAACATCATTAATGTTTCCGGTAAGCTGTGGTTGATACTTGCGAGCATTCTGCTAAATTTCCGAATGATAAATGATGACAATTTGAATGTATCAGTAATGGATTTTTTTTTTCACCCTTTGTGTCTTTAGGTCCTAATAATGCTAGTAAAGTGAGTGGCATGCATGTAATAGTTTAACTGATCGATTATCTCTCAAGGCATATCTTATCTATTTTGTTTAATTGTTCACGCAATGTGTGTATTTTTGTATATCGTTGTCGTCGTATTTTATCTATTCTTATTCATGAGACAGCAAATACAACAGGTATCGCTAGGTTGGCCCTTATTGCAACCTCCGCAACAACAAACACCACCACCTCAATCTCACCAACATCAATCGCCAATATTTACGCCTCCTCCTCAACTTGGTCCTTCTCAACCATTTCACATGCAACAACCAGCATCAAATATACTTATTTCTCAGAATATCCGCCCTGTACCTCAATTCGCTCAAAATCAAGTTCCAATAATTAACCATGTCAACAATATGTTACCTCCTCTACCCGCACCGACAGTCCAATCAACATTTAATCAACAACTACTTTCAAGCTGGACAACTCAAATGCCACAACAACCACGGACATTCAATTTCCCTAACCAAGTAGATCAATCATTGCAGCGTCCACCGACTCAATCATCACAACCTTTTATCGGCGCATTCACCAAACCATCCATTGGACAACCTTTACTTCCCAAGCTGCCCGAGAAACCAGTTCAACAACCACCATCTCCACAATCATCCATATCCCAATCCCAACTGCCCAATTCTGATGCTTCTTCATCGTCATCATCCCCTTCATCATCTTCTTCTACAACGACGGGCACCCCTAATGCTGTAACTCGTGAACCCCATCGAATTCCCTTAGCTGATCGTACGGATCAACAACCACAGCGTCCTGGTCGTTCGAATGCCGAGGTTGTGAACAAACTAATAGCAATGAAAGAGCAAATAGAAAAGGGACTGCATCCGACGATTAAACCAGGAATAAAAAGTGGGGTAACGACTAAAAGCTACACAATTACACAGAGTATACCAGTACATTCTAACGCGTTCTTCACATCTACAGATGATCGAATTAAATCATCAACAAAAGAAAATACGAAGTTGGAGCCATTTGTTGATGTGAAGTTAGAAAACCCTAATCCGTTATCAGAACCTGACACCGTATTTCCTTCTACTCCTATTCCTGTTTCTTCAAATTCCCAAACTGCAAGGGATTCAAATCACGATAAAATATTTCGCACTCCAAGGACTAAATCTGTTGATTCCCCATCTGACAGAGATCGTCGGTTTACGCTTCGCACAGGATCATTCCCATCACCCATTGCGAGTGACTATTACTCTAATCCTGAACTCAGTCGGTCGGATCTTGATCGGAACGTATTCGAACATAGAACTAGTAGATCACGTAGTCCTAAGCACGATTTACGCGATTATCGTGAGTATAGCCGTTCTCCCGCCTCTACAAGGCATTATCTGAAACCCATGTCCGAGTACGATGAAAAGTATTGTAGTCGTGATGCTCTACCTGAATATAGAGATAAGGATTATCCTCGTCCTCAGGTTTTCGAACATCCTGCGGATTATTATTCCTACCCACCTGAACGATATAACGAGAAATATGATGAGAGAGGACATAATAAAGATTACTTACGTGATCCAATGTTGAGAAGATCTAGATCGCCGCCACTTTATCATTATAGTCGACGTATGGATGAGAGTGGCAATGGATGGTATGGAAATGGATTGTATGGCAGAGAGTATCAAAGACAGGGAATATACCATGAATCACCAAGGGATGACAGGTATGAACATAGAGAGAGAGAATTTTCAATGAGAGATGTTGATAGAGGATATCCCGAAAGAGAATACTCCAAAATTATGGAATACGATTACGGTATGAATAAGAAGCGATGGCATTAGATGGATACAGAGAATTACAGTTTTCGGACTATCGCCGTGACCTGAATAAAATAGAGACGTCTTATCACTGATTGCATTGTATATGAAAATCACGTTTAGTAAGTTGAATAAACTCTATAATAATTGAATGCGAGATATTATTGTAATAAATAACAACTGTTACTAATAATTGATCCAATGTCTATTGTATGTGAAGTTACTAATATGTGGGAACAATAATGCGTTGCAAGCGCCCTTATAAGGTTTCAGAGGAGCGATATGAATAATGGCATCATTCTTGCATGTAGTCATTGCCTGCAACGGTGTCAATTCAAGTGTTCTATATGCTTGGGATACCTTCAGGATGAGATTAAGAAAAACGTTGATGCATTGATAACAAATACGACGAAGGGATCAGTCGAACAGATGCATAATCTACTGGAACATGCGAAAATTTCATTTTTAGAACTGTAAAAATCTGTAGTAGAATCATGCGATAAATATTTCTGCATTGTATTGAAGTTCTGAGGCCTGCATTAGCACTTATTCCGGCTAGGGGTTAAGCAGAAATTGACCAAAGTTACCTTCATCTAAATTAGGATTCTGTGTACCACAATATCAATTTTCGTATAACTGATAATGATAACGGTCATTTACACAGTGAAAGTCGATATAACGGTTCGTTGATATAACGGATTTTGCTTAGTACGGATTTTTTTCTTGGAACCAAA